AGTGTGTACATAGGGTAGATAGACGTAGTAATATGGTTTTGATTATAAGTTGCTATTGGATATTGTTGCCAATTTATGCTTTTTCCACCTGCTATGATTTGTCAGTGAATAGTATATACATAGGGGTTATTATTACAACTTGGGTTCGGGTTGGGTTGTAGAGCAGAGTCATAGCAAAAGTTATGTTATAAACTCGTTTGAAATATGAATCAGCAAGATATGATACGTTTGGGTTAGGTAGAGTAGGAGCAACGGAGGGAGAATAGTTCGAATGCTGTTGTCGCATGATTCTAATTCATTAACTTGTGCCTCACTAATACTAGAACTTAAGAGAAAAAAAAAGGCAGAGGAAGAACGTAAGAATATACAGAGTTGTCTTTGCTTTGTGTTGTGCTTATTTTCACTAATATTTTTTTGATCAGTTGTGATTACTAAGCCGAAAAAAAGGAGATGGGAAGTAAATGGTGCCATTCAACCAAGTATGGTTCACGCTGTATATTTCGTGGATCCAACGGAGGAGAGTCATCCACTTATTGAGAAGATCCAAGAAGGTCAATTTGTGGCTCTACATGGACCTAGAGCATCTGGCAAATCTACACGGGTATACCAAATTCAGGAGCAGTTGAAAAACGACTTTATTTGCATCTAGTAAGCATACTCCCATGATTTCGTGTGTTCACGTCACATATGATCTTTAATTACATATCGTTTCTTTTTATCTTTGGTGCTTTGGAACAGTACATCTTTTGAGCATGTTAACTTCACAAAGGAAATCGATTTTTGGAAAACATTTAGTATGTCTTTGCAACGTAATGTTCCAGAATTACTCGGTTCTCCAGAAAATCCAATAATAAAGTCTGCCCAAGATTTTTGCAATATATTTCATCGAACTAAATGGACATCTTTCAGTGAGAATCGTGTCGTTCTCTTTGTCGATGAATTCGATAAATTGTATGAAGCAACAGATGAAGTTAGATCCTCGTGCCTGGAGACTCTTCGTGGCATTAAAAACATGAATCAAGACTTTAGTATCCACTCCATTGTCGCTATCGGCCCCTTCAGTATCCTTCGTATAAGCACAAAAAAATTAACTACGTCACCTTCCAACGTCCAGGAACCATTCCGAAATCCAAATTTCACGATGAAACAAGTGCAGTTCCTATACAAGCAGTTTTCGGACGAATTCAAACTGACTATTGACCAAGAGGTTATCGATGACATATATATGCAGACAAACGGGTAAGTATCTATAGTTATGTAAGTGTATCTTTACTGAGATTCTTGATTATCTTACTGTTCTAATTTAACAGGCATGCTGGTCTTGTCTGCCTTTGCGGGCGTGCAATTGATAGAAAGCTACTAGCAGTATTAGAAAATGGAACGCATCTTAGCTTCGAAATATGGGAACGTTTCACTGCCTTTTTACTAGGAAATGAGATTTTAGAGTACTCAACGTTTATAAGAATGAAGGAGTCCCTGCTGAGAGATGATACCGATACTAGGCGTGCTGTGAATCTTATCAGATCCGATTTCTTAGTGAATAACGACCCTATATATGTTGCTGAAAACAAAAAGGATCTAGCGTTATTCCTCACAGCCGAAGGAGTTCTGGTTCCTGGAGAAGATGCAGGGACATTTAAGATTTCTTCGCCATTGGTGCACTGGCTGGTCCTTCAGCGAATAATTCCCCAGGCGTTTCCGACTTCACCTAAAGTAGAAGTCCCCTATTATTCTTCCACAGGTACCTTAGACATACTTAAGGCCTTGAAACAAGTTGTCTGTGTATTTGACAGAGAGATTATGAAGTCCCGCAATTCTTTCAAGACAGCACATGTGCTGGTCAATAATGTTGATAAACTAGAAGTCCCTAGAGAGTCAGTTTATGATGCGGAATTGTATCGGATAATGTCGAATTGGCTTGTTGGATTCACGGTAACCGGACAATGGCACCTGAAATATCGTACTAGTGGACATATCAATCATAAATATGTTGACATAGTCATCTCACGACCTAATAAAACAATTGCCCTCGAGCTTTTAGCTACAGCAACAAAAAAAGAGCTCAATGAACATTACGAACGGGCACTCCTGTACGATAAGAAACTACCTGCAGATGAAACATGGGTTATTCATTTCACCTGTGAAGAAAACGCCATTTTAGAGCCGTACTGGCCAACCGAATCTCAATTACAAAAGGGCCTTCGAGTCGTACACTTTTGGCATGACCTCGACTTTACAAAAGTTAGTATGATCGCATGCTGGTGGGATGTGAACAATAATACAAGGCATGATACTGATGTTGAGGAATTTGTGGTGCGTTCCATTATAAATATTTCTTTGATTGATTGCTTTGCATTTCATCTTACTAACGACCTCTGCTCGATTATAGGTTTCGCAATAGTATAATATAGAAATTAAGAATGAGAATAAATTAGTTGTATTTGTTTTTCATCCCTAAATTAGATAGTAAAACCAATTTAACCTGTCATTTCGCAAAGAAATGTATGCATTTGCAATTATATAAAGCAGTTAATAAAGCTGGCCCTGGTGGCTCGATTAATCGCGTTTATTTTTGTATGTGTATTTCGGGAATTTATTTTATTATTTTTACAAGTATTTCCAAGATTAAGGGTAGAGTTTTCTACGTCATCAAATAAAAATGTAGATCATTTTAAATTTATATGTCACCATGTCACAAACGGTGATGTGGCTAATAAATCCAATCGAGTAATTGAGTTTTGATTGACGAATATTAAATGGGAGTCGAATAACCTATAATATACGTTTCTATCATTATATCTAATGATTCATGTATACTGATTATACTGATACATTTACAACTTTTTGAACGTGAGGGTAGATATTCATTAAACTCACATAAACCTTAAAGGAATATTTTATAATTAAAAAAAATTATATAGTACAGATGAAAAGGAGACACGATATAAAATACATGACTAACTTTGATGCGATACTATTTAAAAATCATCTAGCTCTTGAGCTTTCCTCTTATCAGTAGCAACGTTCTTACCCTTGGCAGGCTTTATAATAGTTTCAGCGTGGTAGTAATCTTCAAGTATTTGCAAGCTAAACTTACAGATGATTTTATATCTTCAAGGATATTTTTGTTTTCAGTAAAGCTAGGATCATAGAAATGGAGTTTTTTCATTAGTGGTTCATGAAGACTCTCAACCCTTTTTGATTATTCCTCCTTTGCATATTGTCCTAGTTCTTGAAATAATTAGCCAATCTATTGAAAATAATAAAAAATATTAAAACTAAAACTAAAACTAAAGTTAAGAAATGCGAATTAGCTTACCTTTTTGTTAATTATTCAGGAATGCTAATTATTTGAATTATTTCTTGATTCAAGTCTCAAAATGAATGGCTCTTCATTATTTAATATTGATTATCATTTAGTAATAATCATTATTTTATGTATCATTAGCATTAAGCGGATGTCTAAATATCTTGTGTGAATTAAATAACTCCTAGAATAAAAAAATACATGCTTCCCAGATTGCATTGATCCAAGTTTAATATCTAAATAAATAGATAAATTATCTATTTCAAAATACGTTTTTTGTCACTTGTATATTCAAATTGTTTTTGCACATGATTTCAGATTTTTTGAGTACTTTTATTGTATAATGCATCCAAAGATTCAATCGTATCTAAACACAAAATAAAATAGTAAAGTAGTAAAACAGAAACAGAAATTGAAGGCAAGATCACCACCATATAAAAAGAGAAAGTTGTATTAAAACTTTTAGCAAACTTGAATTATCTTAAATGAATAAATAAAATTAATTAGCTTATAAAATAAAAAATAATTAGAACAAAATAAAAAACAAAATCCATTTTCTAATTAATCTGATTCTAGAATTTTTCATATTCTTTCTTTAAATAGTTCCATATTTCTTATTCTAACTTTGTTCATATATCATCAGAAACTTCTAAGACTGGAAAAGTCCAAGAGAAAATGCTTGTAATTTTATCTCGCTGCAGAATGATATCTGTTAAAATTATTCTACAAATTATAAGATCATTAAAAAGTCTTTTAGTCTCATCATTAGTAAGTTTTACTTCTGCATCTTGCTCTTTCTAGTAGATTTCTAACTCTTTATACTTAAGCAGAGCATCTTTTGATTTGCAAAAAATATCAATAATATCTTTGGCAATTATTATATTTAATCCAAATCTCATAATAACTTCTATCATATCTAATAATTTCAAGGCTGATATTTTCATGTCTTTTATAATTAGTTTTTCTTTTACTCATAATTAACACGTATTATATTTTCCACATAATAATTTAATAGTGAATGATTAGGTTTTTAATAGCAGTATTTTCTAATTGTGATACTGAATAAGAGTATTTTATTTATACTCATATTTTGTTTCACAAAAGAAAATTATCTCCCAGTTTTTTTTTAATATTTCATTAGATATACCTGTCTCATTCCTTCATCTTTTGTTGTGATATTAGTTAGACTAAATAATATAATTATGAGTAAGAATTAAGTTAATTTTCTAATACTACTAAAATATTCTGGATTATCTTTCTCATTCACCTGTAATAATATTATAAAGTACTCGTATATCTTTTCTTGCATAAAGCAAGATACATTTTGCTAGTAATCTATTACAATCTGCTCTACCAGTTTCTTGAATATAATTATCTAATATTACAAGATTAGAATTAATAGAAAAATGATCTTTTGATTGAAAATATCTAATAGGACTTACTTAAATTTAGAAGTATTATATAATGAATTACTAAATAAATATCTGATATATTGATACCTAATCTGAAGATATTAATGATAATTATAATCTTAATAGATCATTTTTTCCATTCCTTCATGATAAACTTTTTCTTCTCAGTTGATATTTCACCATAATAAATATTCATCTTTATATTTTCATCTCTTAAATTTATTTTCAAAAAATCTATAACTTCGTAATAATTTTTTTGAGTTGCGTAATAGATTATAGAATATTCAGGAATTGATTTTATTTATATAAATATTTCTTTAAGATTTTTTCTCTGAATTCCTTTTTTTTTATAATTTTATATATTAATTTATCATATTTTAATGTGACTTCATGTATTATTTTCATATATGAAAAATCAAGATTCAGATTTGTCATAATATCTCAAGTATCATTATAAGTTAAGGTTGTGGTCATCATAAGAATCAGAGTTATAAATAAAAGATCTTTAACTGAGATAGATAATATCATGACTTACTAATATTAAAATAAATAATTATATATGTAAGAATCTTTTTTTTTGTATCTTCTTGATATATTATTAATTCTTACTGAAAATAGGTATAATTCTTTACATAATATACTTTATTAATTACAAAATGAATTCCTTGGAAGGTGACTATATTTTTAATTAATATTCTGAATTAAGTATTACATTTAAATTTTTCCAGAGTTATGAACAAAATATAGATAATTCCTAAAGAAATTTCTATAAATACTTGCTCTTGAAAATTAGATAGTTAATCATCTAATGTGTAAAAACCAGCACATAGAATTCCAGTAGTGATAATTTCTATCTGTAAAAATATAAATTTTTAAATTATTTACAAAAAAATTTTTGAAAAGAAAAATTAATCTATTACTTGATCATCAATCAAAGACTTCAGAGAACTAAATATTATAATTAATCCTAGATTCAGCAAAATTGATACTGCATAATATAGTGACTTTTCATCTCCAGTTTGCATCAATAATAATATATCACTTTCTTGAGTATATGTTATAATCATTTGTTATTATGCATCATAAAATAAACTGAATCTAAATACTTCTTATAATATTAAATTAGTCATATCATCTAAAGATTGAGATTCACATTTATATTTTGACACATTAAAAGACTTATCAGGAATCTGATTTTCAAAGCTATTAAGAATATAAAATTAATATACTTGACAGAGCTCCCATGGGCAGAATCTTGAAAAGGAGTAATATCCAAGATATTTGATAGTAGTTTTGAAGTTTTCAAGTAATAGTGCAAAAAAGGATTTAAATTCTTGTCAAATCATGCTTTCCTATACTTTAAGACCATAAGATATTAATTCTTAACTAAAGTTAAAAAGCTATAAATTATTTTGTTATATCACAAATTCTACTATCTATTTTTTATTTTAATTTCATCACTTATCACAGTTTCTAAGCTTTTAAATATTTTTCTTCTTCACTAATTTTTCTAAGTTTGCTATATCTTCTTTATTGAATATTTGTTCTCTGCATAAATTTCAAACATTTTGTAATATTTCTACTAGTTCTTCATTATTATAAATAATTATTAAAGCATGTTATGTTTCATATAATTATTAAAAATCAAATAGTTTATTTATAAATATAAGTTTAATTTGATTCATGGTCTCATTATTTATAATTTGTGAAATTGTTATAAGAGATTGTTTAGCAGACAATCTGAAGATATTTTGAATCATTATTAAAAATTCACTATGTTCTTTTGTAGTAAAATCTTTGAGATTTGGAATTAATAAATCTAACTCAGAATTATTTTTATGATTACCTGTAAGATATTTGAGAAGTTCTTGATATTATACTTCTCAAAGTTCATTATCTGTTGGGATATTTAATATATTATTTTCCTTTCTAAACCCTACTATATATATATAACTATTAAAGTATTATATTATTTGTAATATATATCTTTTCTATTTGTTATTTTTTTCTATTTAAAATAAGTAGAAATTTCAGTTTAATCATTTAATTTGAATTCTAATAGATTCAACTTATCAAGAGATTTTCTTATATTTTTACTCAAATACTTAAGATTTGCAAAAATCTTATTTATATATGATATATGATTCAAAGTTTTATTTATTTCTAGATCTTTATTGATACAAATTTTAAGTAACATATTCTCATCTTCAAGAATTAGTTAAATTTGAAAAAGCAAATTAATAAAAATTGCATATTCCATAGTACGTGAACTTGATGTATAATTTCTCTCATGCAAAGTAAGAACTTAATTATTTCTTTTACTAATACGTAATTTCATTATGACATAATATGTAATTACCAATTTATTAAAATAATCTAATAAAATAGGATTTTTTATTATGAATAAAGATGATATTGCTTATAAAAAAATTATCATGAAAAATAATTCAATATATTTGGATGATCTTTTTGATAAATAAGTTCACTACTAGCTTCATTTGTATTTCTTACATGAGACCATCCAATATCAAAAGTAATTGTCAATATATTTTTTCTTAATTTTTTCAGATAATTAATGATCCTATTAAAAGCAT